CTCAACAGTGCAAACAGTTTACAGAAAGATGATTTTGCCTGCTACTTAACTTTCAAACTAGGAAAAGCAAATGAATTTCGAGAGCATAAAGAAAGAAAAAGCCTCCTCTCCACTTCTGTAACACACTGCAGTTTAAGTTCACCTTGTCTTTATCCTTCCTGATCACTTGAAAAATCCCTGCACCTTGATGCTTATTCCTTTATTTATTCAGCATTTCCATGAAGCTTAACTTTCTTCTCTCTCCACACCAAATATTCTTGCAATGCTAAGCTGTCTTTCAAACTCAGTTGAGAGATACTATGCTAGTGCCTACTGGCACTTTAAGTACAATTTATTTCAGAGAACGTAGACACAATTATTAACAAACTATTTAAGTAACATTCACTGAAATAAAGGTTTCAAAAACACACTCCACGTATTAAAACAAATCCTGAAATACAACTTTGGTGTAAGAACTTAAGACATCTACCATCAAGTTACACATTTGTGGCATGAAATACACACACAGGCATGTACACATAAGGATAAGCAACACAGGAGAGAATGGATAAAAGGAGAGACAATCAAATGACCCAATATAAACATTTGTTAAATAGTGATTTGTATAACATTTCAAGAATAGAAAAATCTTCACATTTGTATTTTACTGAACTGTGTTAAGTTTTCATACATTTCCATGTTGCCAGACTAGAAAATGCGTTAGAACTGTGCCAAGAAGTGAAGCAAAACCAATTATTTCATATGATTTTTATACAGCAGCAAGGAGAGATACCCTCATGGTTACACTTAGTATGAGAGGAACAATAACAATGTTTTCCCATTTCACAAACAAGGAAACTCTCAATACCACCTGACACAGTCCCTTTGAAAACTACGCTATGGATCAAGAAGATACAAGAAAAAACACTGAACAAAACCTGCCATGAACCACTAGCATTTAAACAGCCACTGGAACAGAAGTTTGAAGTCACCCAACCTAACTATTTAATACACAATTACTTTCTAAAGCATCTGGTCCATGTGACTCTTAACTCCACAGGAAAGTATGAAAAGCCCTTTTCAACTACTCTTACCCCATTTAATAAAATATTCAGGTAAAAAAATACCATGATTTAAAAAGCTTCTCAAGAACACTTTCTTCTTTGTATACATCAGTCAATAATCTTATTTCCTTTATTTCCTATTTCTTACTTTATAGGATTTAATAAATAGAGACAATCAAGAACCTTAAACAGCACAGAGCTATACAGACAACACCCAGGCTGGTACAAACCAGGACATAAACAAAAACGTCTACATCTCTCTGTCACTGAACGATATCACTATTACCCACCCCCCGCCAAAAAAATAAATAAACCTATCATTCAAGTATAAAACTGAATTTATTTTAAAGAACTTTATAAAAAAAAACAATCAACTTTGATGGGATTTCAAAACCCAAACTGTTTACAATCATTATGTGATATATATTATATTATATTTCATTATCAAAGAAAAAACAGAAAGGGGAATAACAGTAGTTGACAAACAGTGGCAAAAGCCCTGCAAAGTCATCATGAGCACCTGGGTGCACAATAAATAAAATAAGGCAAAAGAAGTGCTGACATTGTCACTGCACATACTTTAAAGAAATACATTATTTTATATTAAAAGCTAATACAATGTACTTCAGTTGTGTATGATGACCTCATTTAATTGAAAAGTTCTTCATGACTCAAGTATTTGTGCCCCATTTTTGTGAGCAACCGAAGCCCTGTTTTCTCGCATGTCTCGACTCCTTTCACTATTTCCCACTGATTCAGTGGGACTGTTCATGAGAAAAGCTGATCTACAGTAAGACCTTGCAGGAGAAACAATTAAATGCTGAAGGACGTAAAGGGGTGAAAATGACGAAAAAGGTAGAGAGATCAATTTCTAAGAATTTTCATAAATGGCAGTGTTTTATCCAGAGTACCTATAAGACGAAACTGGGAACTAAGTTGAGAAGACAATAGTGTCATGAACAAAAAGGGAAAATTATTTAGGTCGAGAGAGGTTCTCCTCCCCCTCTACTCTGCCCTGGTGAGACCGCATCTGGAATATTGCGTCCAGTTCTGGGCCCCTCAGTTCAAGAAGGACAGGAACTGCTGGAGAGAGTCCAGCGTAGGGCTACAAAGATGATCAAGGGAGTGGAGCATCTCCCTTCTGAGGAGCGGCTGAGGAAGCTGGGATTCTTTAGTTTGCAGAAGAGGAGACTGAGGGGAGACCTCATTCATGTTTATCAATATTTAAAGGGTGAGTGTCACGAGGATGGAGCCAGGCTCTTCTCGGTGACAAACAATGATAGGACAAGAGGTAATGGACACAAACTGGAACACAGGAGGTTCCACTGAAATTGGAGAAGAAACTTCTTCTCAGTGAGGGTGACAGAGCCCTGGACCAGGCTGTCCAGAGAGGTTGTGGAGTCTCCTTCTCTGGAGACATTCAAAACCCGCCTGGATGCCTTCCTGTGCAACCTCATCTGGATGTTCCTGCTCCGGCAGGGGGATTGGACTGGATGAGCTTTTGAGGTCCCTTCCAATCCCTAACGTTCTGGGATTCTGTGATTATGGAACCTTTACTGCATAACTTGCAAGAAAGAACGAAACCAACAAGAATGTTAAAAAAAACCCAAACCCAAAACAGAGTCAAGCAATACTCCTTACTAAAGGCTCCTTTCTTTCTCACTCTCCAGCAGTAGCCGTAGTGAAGAGCTATGCTGCTTCCTACAGCAACCATCAGCAGAAGGCGACCCCGTGCCTGCTGAGACCCAACTCAATACTTCAGCCACATTTTCCACACCTACTTCATCACAGCTGCAACTACTATAAATTTTCTTTAGGAATTGGCCTGAGCTTTGGAATTTGCTTGCTTTAATAGGAAGCTGAAACTCCTTAGGAATTTTTTTTGGAGAGAGACAATAGTGCAATATAATTTTCTAACATGGTAACACTGTCATTTGAAGAACAAGCCTGAACTTGTCCCACATACACAATACAATTAAGTATGTTACTACACTAGAGCTTTTATAACTGTCTTCTCTTTCTCCAAGAACAAAATGTCTCATTTAATACAAGAAGAAACAGTTTTAAACTTAATTTATTTAAACTACTTATCTGAACATTCGAGTAATTTTGTTTTCTTTTTCAAAAGCCGCACCTTTTGTATTAAATGAGAGATGATGAGATGAACACCACATTAGCTGGCAAGAAGCAGTACAGCCTGATTTGGTGTTTGGGACAAAATTCACTCTAGCAAAGTTATCTTGTAAACTAACTCATTTCTCACTCATTCTACAGAGGTTTTGAGAGACCCATCTGAAGACCATGCCCAACGTGGCTTCTACAGAACTTTCCTCCAAATGAGGAATCCCTGGATCTTTACCAGTTACTCATCTTTTCCCAGTGAAACAAAGCAAGCCAGCTCATCAGCCATCAGACACATTTAATACCATGCTACAGCACTTTATGCCTCCATACAATCACAATTCTTAATCTAGTTTTGATTAGCAGTGGAAAGCCTTGAATGAAAAAAGGCCATCTAACTTGTTGTCTAGAAAACAATGATTCTGCTTTGCCAATAAACCAAGTGATTATTCTGTTAGCTATTCATACGTGCCGTGTTTGAAATACTATGACCAAAATTGATCATATAAATTAGCAAAACAAAGGTTTCTAAGTGTAACATATCAGATATAACTGGAGTAACAAAAATCAGCACACCAGACTAAATTTTATAAATCATACTTGTTTAACATGGGCTGATATTTTCTGTACCACAGCCAAAGTTTTGTTGGTAACATTAAAATGCAGTCATCACTGCATCTGAAACAGCAGAATAAGTATCAGTGATATTACTGGCACTCGGTAAAAATTCCAGTAAATTCAGTTATCAAAGACAATAAATTAAGACGGCCATTTCCCCACAAACCAAGAGTAAAGTGGTTTTTATGTTTTGAAACAGTGAAACCTGTGCTAAGCAATCACTCGAGAGAGTAAAACAATATCAAATAGACAGTTTACTGACAAAGGGAAAACAAAGAGGTAAATTTTTTTCTCATGTAAAAATCCATCACTGTTGCAAAAGGAAGAAACTATTTCTAAAAAGTGAGCTTTTTACAGGTTTCACTATGAATTGCCATGCAGAACTCTGGAATAAATGTATACATGCCTGCATATACAGAAATGTCTTGTGTAAAAGACCCAGTTATAGCTGAGACACTAAGAAATTTTCAGTTGCAAAAAGAAATATTTTCAAATTTACACACTCTCGATGCTTATTGTTTTCCTCTCGTTTTTTAAAGAAATTTTTAAAATATACACAGGAAAAATGAAAAGCTTTTAAAGAATGAGCAACATCACAATTTCGGAATTTAATAGAAATCAGATCTACTATTCATGAAAGCAAAAAATTAAACTTCATCTTCTTTACTTCAAGGAAAAGTGCTAGAACTTTTAGTTATCAAAACACAGTAACTCTTTTGTCCCAGAAGATAGTAATAGAAATGTGATGTACGTTTTCTAAATAGAGTAAAAAGACTGGTTTTAGAAATGGAATTGCTTTATTAAGGCAGAGATCCTTAAGTAATTATCACGACTGTGAAAATGTAACAGAAAGAAGGCTGCAAGTGGAAATAGTTGAAAATAACTATAAAAGCCTAAACCAACTTCAGTAATAAGCTATAAGCTCGTGCCACTGACAACATGCCCAGAAAAATGGCAAATGCACAAAAATAACTAAAATTCCATTCTTATTATAGACCAAGTTTCTTAAGAATGCAATTCCTAAAGATTTTTATAAGTGCCTTGTATTTTCCTCACACCAAAATGTTTATTATCATTGCACTGCGTATGTATTAACAACGGTGCATACTCAAGTCATTTACAAGCTGCTTCAAATAAACTTCTACAACTAGCTATGAAACACTTCAAACAAAATCACCTGTTGTCAAGACATTGTTAGCTTTGCAAGAGAGTAATTACCTTCTTGTACTGTTTGTCATTGTCATATCCCTGGTCAGTAGCTCTGAATGCTGTTTCACCTGGAGAACCTAAGACATAATTACAGAAACTCATTATAACATGTAAAAACCAATTGAAAAAAATCTCAAACTGCACCTGAAATTAAATAACATTAAAGTTTCAATGCCTATGAAAAATTAATTCAATAATCTCTGAAGCTGCTAGCAATCAAAAAAAGGTTCACCACAGAAAACTGAAAAAGGAACTCAGTTTAAAAGTCATCTGGAAATTTTATATCTAGTTTGTGACTCAAATTAGTTATATTGTAAGGGAATAAGTAGCTTCAATTACACTATTAAAGACCTGGAATTTTTTTAAAGATTAATTATTTCTGATAGACATGAAAGGGTAATGCAAATTCTATTGGTATTATTGTAATAAGAAAAAGAATTATACTCTTTCCTATTGTAATGACACAGATTTTCAAGCTTCTGGAAAATGCCCGAAACAAAAGGCATCTGCTCAGGACTCTGGCAGAGAAATACCAACTATTCATCTATTCATTTGCACTGCAGAGGATCTAAGTATTTTTAAAAGAATTGGAAGGTATTTGTAATTCAATATTAAGTTGCTGTAAATAATTGTGTTTATACTGATATGCACTCCTCTTAGTTTAGTAGTGTTTTAAGAGTTTGCTTTAAAAAGGCAGGTTAAGGGCAGTAAAAAGGGCTTTTACACACCTAACAACAGAAGTAGATCAGAAGCTCCTATGACTTCACTAACCAAATTGTAACCTGTGAAAAATCAGCAGAAGAGGGGAAATAAAAATTATAAACACAAAACAAAATGCAAAACAAAGATGAGGGATCTTTGTCTCGTTTGGAGGACCACACAGCCATAAATGTCACCTATGTTCATGTGAGCACAATAACAAATAATAGGTGACAACTCACACCACCAGTCAATAGCACCACAATTTTAAACAACCAAAAATCTTAATCAAAATATACAGGAAGTTGTCATCTACTTGTCACTCTGTTGAACTTCATCCCTACTTAGTTGCTTGCTCAGTTTATACAATGAATAAACTCATTCCACCGTTACAAGTATTTTAAGAAAATGAAAATATGCTGCTTCTGCACACCGACATGGAAATATTTTCAAACACACTTGGAGCAATAATTATGACACCTCATAGATATAATCTTTCATAAATACAAATGCATGCAGTTTGATAACTATTGAGGTATACAATCAGAAGAATTTTTCACTCCATTACAAGAATGACTGGGTGAAGTTTTGAGCTGTGCTGAAGAGCAAGTCAGATATGATGATCAAGTCAAACATCTTTTAGCTTTAAAAAGGCCACCAACCACAAATGACTTATTTAAATCTCCCAAAACCTGAAAATTACAAAGCCTACTACTGTCTAAGCATACTGAATCGAGAAACCATCCCCCTGTTTCCTGTGAAGCATTTAGAACTCCCACCTACTCTTTTGAAACGCAGCCTCTCCCTAAACTGATGCTTCAAGCAAGTCCTTCTGGAACTACGTCCAGATGGAAAACATCACTCTACACAAAAGAATACAGCAGACACAAATCCCTTCTCTCACATGCGTGCAACGTTAAGAATCATCAATTCTTAATAATTCAGCTCTTTTTCTCTTGTAACAGCTGTGGTACTGTTACTGTCCAGTGTCACTCCCACTTTCTCCAAATTCCAGCTGGATACATCCAGCTTTTATGACTCACTGAAGGAATCTGCTTTCAATCTGTTTGTTTAGATTTGTACAAGAATTCTAGTTTTCTACTCAATTTCACATTTTGGTTCTCACTACTTGCTAACAGAATTCTTGCTTCAAAAAACACATTACACTTACCTGTGTCCATAACTCTTTCAGATGAGATATTTAATGAAAAGCCATGCATTTGCAGGATCCGCTTTCTTCTAATGTCTAAGGACATTATCTGTAACCTCATTTTGTAATAGCCTATGTTTTCAAAATTAAAACTAAGCTGAAAAATTGTTCTCACCAGGAGAAAAAAATCCTTTCAGCGAAGTGAAGCTCTCTCCAATCTTGTCAAAGTCAGGCAGAAGTTTGGCAAGTTCATCTGCATCAGGAAGGGCTTTGATAAGTTTTTCTAGGAAAACAGTACAAGAGCTAATGAGTATTTTTCCTTGCCTATTCTTTTCATGAACAAAAACGGCTTAGGCTGTAAAACACAGCAACTGTTTCAGAACATGGCTTTTTAATTTTTTTTTAACAAAGAATTAAAAAGTTTCTCTTCACATGCACCTCCCCCCGTTAGTGCTGGGAAAGATGATCAGATCTGAAAAACCAATTGCACTTTAGACTTTGAACTTCCTGATAAGTTGGTTACCTCAGGTACTTCAAAATACTCTACAACTTATTGCTGCAGGTCACCACATCTCAAACACTATTCTCTCACGTACTTTGCAGAGGATGTTTTAAAACTACACAACACTAACTATGCCCACCTCTTGTACATTATGAAAGATTATTTTTCAATTTCATAAGCCTATTTTGCAATTCTTTAAAAAAACCAAACTTACTAGCTTTAAAGTACTATAGAAATGTAGTGTCCACTAGTAAAACCAAGAAAATCTTCGTCTCAGTTATTCAATCTCTGCATTCATCTATGCAACATTCATACATGTAGTAAAATCTTCATATTCTTTTAAAAACCCCACCACCTTACTACCCTGCATATATAAGAAGTAACTCACTGCTTGGTTTTATTTTTAAATTTCTAGATTTCATCTGAAAATATGCCTACTGTAACCAGAAGTCTCTATTTTTCACTTTCTTCTTTCTGTATCTTCAAGATAATTTTGTAGCTAGGGAGGTTCACCATTCTGCATTTTCAACTGGTCTTTTAATCATATAATCTTTTACTTATCTATTTATATTTCTTACTTCTAAGTGGCAGTCATATAAAGACCTTTGTGCATAATATTATGAAAACCTTTGTAAGTCCCCTTGACCGTGTTGCAAGTCTCCTTTCAACAATGGGATTACATAGCCATATGAAAGGACCAAGCATTCTCAAAGGAAAGGATGAATTATGCAACAGCAATGCTAAATGAGGCTTAATTTTTTTCTACAAACACACTGATAGAAATATCTTGGTTATACACTCAAAACTCTAACAATACAAGTTCACTCAAGTTACAGCCGTAAAGATACTACTGCACTGTGGAGAGGCACTGAGGACCTACACCTTTATGTTTAAGTTGCACATATTCTAGTCTTTAGACAGAGTAGCATTTAAGCTTTTGTGATACCGAAGTCAATATGCTCATCAAGCTCCCAAATGAAGTCAGGAACAATCCACTTATATTCATCGAGATCTGGCATCATGTCCTTCCACTGATCATATGTCTAATACAAAAAGGAAAAAAATACAGTAGAAATAGAAAAAGAGATGTATGGAGAGAAGTATATGAGCAATCTATTGAAAAGTAATACCTATATATAATACATAATAACCCACCACCTTTTAACACGAATACTGCTACTTCTATCTTTTAAAATCTATACTAGTTCTCTAAACAATCTGCTTTCCATTTTCACCCATCTTTATTGTCATCCTCTAATGGCATCTTGTTATTTTTGTGGATATTCAAGTAAATATTGTTCTGAAATATGTAACAACAACAAAGACAAAATGCATAAAATAACTTCCACAGATAAATACCTTCTTAGCTGTATAACCACCACCTACAGCAGATCCTAATATAAGATAGCGAAGTTTGAGAAGCCTTGATGCTAGCCTAGCTAGCCAAAAGTTCCTGCGGGACTGGTATCCATATTTTACACCTAAAAGTTTTGTTTTACGTAGGGGAAGATGATTAAGAGAAGAGAATAGCTGAATGGATGTCCTTAGTGGAGGTCTTTGAAATTTTGAACTCAGGTAGTAAGGATGATGTATACTCCGGGAAACAAGATGCAAGTTTTGAAGTGGTGATTTTCTTTTTATTCCATAGCTGCTACTTGCTAGGCTCCGGCAGATGACACTGAAAGAAAGAAATAAAAACTCTAAGTAACAGATTTCCTCAACACACCATTAACTCAATAACCTCTGCAGAAGCAGTCCACATTACATTATACCTAGTTACAGATAAATCAGAGCATCAGTCTGAATGTACAATTTCCAGCTATCATTGCTACGCTACCAAGAAAATAAAAAGCTGTAAACAGTGTTAATGGGTACAGCATTTCTAGTGATTATAGAAATAAAACCTTAAATACCATTTATAAAGTCTGTTACAAATTAAATTTAACTTCCACGCTGGATTAAGGCAAGTAACATGCCTGTGGTAAAACACAGTTTGGGCAAACAGGAACTAAAAGTCCACAGAAGACCACGATCAACTTGCAATATAAAAAGAAAACTTAAAAGTTTGGCCTATCTTGTTATTCACAACAAACTTTTAGAGAAGATTACGTCTCTTCATGGCAGGGGGGCTGGAACCTGATGATCCTTAAGGTCCTGTCCAACCCAAACCAGTCTGTGATTCTGTGAATATTCTGCAGCTCTAGGCTTACAGAATTACTGTTCTGTCCTAGGTCCTGCACAGACAAGATTACTTCCAGACATGGCTGCACCATGTTTGTCGAAGGCTTCAATACAGTAATCCAGATTTAAGCAAGAGGGAAAATTTAAGTCTGAAAGATTTGACTCTGAAAACAGAGCTCAACCATGAAAAGCACATGTTAAAACACAGGACCTTATAAATCTTCTCTATATTAAAGCACATGCATAGGTTGGAGAAAAGCTCCTTGCATACCTTCCATTACACTGTCTGCATACTTCAACATTTTGAGGTAGCTTTGCTAATTTAGGGAAAAGACAACAGCTCTGGAAAAAGCAATTTCTTCTGTAATATTTTAGTCTCGCCATCATATCAGAATGGTTCATATTAAATCATTTACTAGATGCAAAACATGAGTGAAGTTACAGTTCTTGAAATAAATGCTTGTTCCTTGATGCTTTTTTCAGGGTCTTAATTTTATCAAGTGTACTGGGGATGAATACAAAAGAAAAAAGTGTTTCACACTATTGAGAAGGCAAATTCTTCACCCTGTAACCCCAAATTATTTAAAATTAACAGATCTTAAAGAGAATAAGTGAATATTATAAAATGGAAAATATGACAGCATTTTCTAATAACATGTTCCCTATTCTTAACGTCCAAAGAAGTGGAAGACTTTGTTATATGAGTACTTGTGACCCAGAAATAGAGCTTTTGGAAGAGAAATTATAAATCAGGATTATGTGAATTGAGACATTTTTCTCTCTTAAAAGACCAATTCTACTAACAATCTATGCGTAGAAATTTCCTTTTGGATAACAGAAAGCCCTAAAAGAAAGGGAACTCCACTGACTGTTATGAGAGTCCTTGTTTATAAAAGTCACCATGATGTTGAAGGGTATCCACTTGCTCCTATACTTCTTCACACTATGTAGAAGGCCGTGCCTTTGCAATAACAAACTTAGCATCTAGGAAGAGCATAACAAGCAGGCAGAATAACCCCTAAAGCAGTGTAAGTTTCTTCTCTTTGACACGGAATTACAAGAGGCTCAGAAATTAACTACAGATGGTACCAACACAAAAGCAGCTACATAACAATTAAAAAAAAATGGAAGTGCCTCCACACTAGAAATGTTTCAATTGTTGCTTCTGAGAACAGTTTTTTAATCAGGGTGTGGTAGGCCTGTAGGAAGCAAGCTGACGACTGGGCCATTACCTGCATTGTTTTGTGTTCAATACCATTACACAGATATTTCATCTTTTTCAGCAGAGACCAAGTGGTGGCAGAACATAACATGGCTGGCACTTCAAATTATTATTCTTTACCTAGGTTATAGGCATTTTAAAACAGTACATCATTTTCTTCTCTATGATTGTTCTTTTAAAATACACTGGTTTTTATAGCATTCATTCTGTATGATTAGACTTAAGAAAAATTGAGTTCCATTGAGTTTATGCCAAACACGTGCTCAACAACTGCCTTTCAAGTGTTACTGCATATTTCAAACCCTACTTGCTTTCACTGTACATATAAAATCTTGTATTTCATTAAAACCCCAATCTGTTCCACCACTACATCAAAACTTCAATTTTCTCCTTCCTTCTCTCCTCCCACTGCTAAAAAGTACAAATGAATGACAAAAATATCAACGTAAGATCGTCACTGAGAAGTGCAGTTAGGCTGAAAAGGGTGCCAAAACAATGCTGCTACATGCATTATTTCATGAGTTCCAAATTTAAAGCCTCTGGAAAGTTGTTTTCAACAACAACAACAAAAATTAGCCTGTTATTAGAAAGCTCTGTTATTAGAAAGTGCCTGATTACAGGCCTGCAACCTGACTACTCCTGTATTGCACTGAGATTACTGATACCTTCAAAACAAGAAAAAGTGGCCTGTTACTGTTAATAGCCAAGCATTCCACTTGGAAACTGTATCTAACACTTTATGCATACTGCTCCAGTTAAATGTTCAAAAAATCCCGAGCTCAGCTAGGACAAATCTTCTGTAAAAACAGGTTATATACACTTTTAACAGCTATAACTGCAAAGCAGTCTTTCAAGTGCAACCCAACAAAAAGCACTGTGGTGGTTTCTTTCTCATTCAGCACTGGACAACACTTATTTTCCTACTGCTACTCCCAAAACTGCCAAGGAACATTGTGAGACGCCTGGCCATTCAATTGCACTTCTGTCTGGAATCGTGTAGTGGGAGAATGAAAAAGAAGAGGAACACAGGGTGGCTGCTGGGGAGAGCCACCGTCTGGGCGCAGGCAGCCGGAACTCCCTAGGGAGGGAATGTGGGAGATGCAGCTCCCTTCCACATTGCACCCCCAGGTCCGGAGGTGCTGGAGGGTGGGGAATTTTCCCGCCTGGGAGGAGCAGCCCCACCTCAGAGGCCTCAGGCTCATCCCTGCGCCATTCACACACACCGCGCACCCCTAGGCTCCGGCCTCCACCGCGGGCAGCCCCGTTCCCAGAAGTGCCCAAGGCCTGCTCGGCCGGGGTGGGTGTTACAATCGACACCGCGCCTGAGGCACAGGCCCCGAGGTCGGCGGAGGCGGGAGAGGGTCGCGGCTC